CTTGAAGAGAAGAACCTTCACAACATAGAGTGAAGAGTGAAGCACATCCAACCAAAACCAGTGAAGGGCTTGCAAGAAGGATAGAAAGCTCTTGGGTATCCATTGCTTCAAACCTTTCTCTCTTTTACATTTTGCTTTTTGTATTCATTTATTTCTTCTTTTAAGTATTGGTGTTCTGTGTATATCATGTAAGGTTCCAAAGGGACCAAGAAACCATTTTTTAAAGAACCACAAAAACGAAAGAGAACAAAGGAAAAAGTTAGGTTTTTTCACTCTGGTAGCTTGACACGGGCCGTGTCACACAACACGGCCACCCGTGTCACACTTTCGTTGGCTTTTTCATAGCACAAAACCCCCAGGTCTCATGGCATGGGCCGTGTCACACAACACGGTCGGCCGTGTTGCACCTCTGTTTGAGTTTTCAACGTGTAAAATACCCAGGACTTATGACACGGGCCGTGTCACACAACACGGCCACCCGTGTCACGATGTTTGACCTCAAAAATATTTTTTCTCCCAGACCCTAGGACGCGGGCCGTGTCACACAACACGGCCACCCGTGTCACACCTCTGTCAAGCCTCAAAACTCATATTGCATGTACCTTATGACACGGGCCGTGTCACACAACACGGCCACCCGTGTTACACCACTGTTTTCTCACTTTTTTTGATATTTTACCTCCAAAAAAATTTTTTTTTTGCATGTCTCGATTTTTTTAGCCGATTAACCCCATATGTTTGCATGATTTTAGTGTGAATATTGTTATTGTCCTTGTTGATTTTTGATTCCAAAAACCATTTTCAAAAACAAACTCTCGATTTTGTCGAGTCATTTAACCTTGTAAGTCGATTGCCTTGTGCACCGCCATCGACCTTGTCTGTATCGCTTCAAATGTATCTTTACAAACAATAAACCTTGATCCAACATCAAGTGATCCTTTTTTCTCATAAAAAACCCAAAATACAATAAATATATGGTTAGAGTTGTACACCATGGATTTTAAGGTGGTGGGGAAGGAATGAGAATGGAATCCTCCTACACTCGTTCTGAATGTTTTGGATACAAGACGCTCGACTTGGCTATTTGAAACATTCATCTCTATCCAAGGTCCTTTTGTGTAACCCTAATCAAGAACCATTTCTCTTCTAAAAACCTAAAAATAACATCAACTCATCAAACTATTTTTTCGCCTTAGGGCATCAACAAAAAAAAAACCTTTTTCAAAGTATAAAATCAACCAACAAACAACTATTTCATAAGCCTCCGAACTACGGAGCTCTGATTCTTCACTTCTTTTAAGTGAGGATACGTAGGCACAAGGGCCACAATCCTTGGCGAGCATTAAAATAAATAAATCAACCCCTCTTTTCCTTAAGCAAGCAAACTCTTAATAAAAACACTCATTCACGCTAAACAACCTAGGAGGTTCCCATCGAATACGATGGATGCGAGGGGGTGCTAATACCTTCCCCTCGCATAACTGACTCCCGAACCCTAAGACTTGGTTGCGATGACCATGCTCTTTTACCAAAGGTTTTATCGCTATTTCCCTTTTCCTCCTTGGGATGAATAAAATCCGGTGGCGACTCTGTGTCATTTTTCGCGTAGCGACAATGTGCAGCGATATGGAATTGATTATGCTGAAGTCTTCGCACCGGTGGCTCGAATGGACACTGTCAGAATTATTCTTGCACTAGCTGCTCAAAAGGAATGGAAGGTATATCAACTTGACGTCAAATCTGCATTTTTACACGGCGACTTAATGGAGGATGTCTATGTAGAGCAGCCCCTTGGTTTTGTGAAGGAAGATGAACCTCATAAAGTGTACAAGCTCATAAAAGCTCTCTATGGACTCAAACAAGCTCCCCGAGCTTGGTTTAGTCGCATCGAATCATATTTCTTAAGGGAGGGATTTGAGAAGTGTTCTAGCGAGCAGACTTTGTTCGTTAAAACCCGCATTCAAGATAAAATTTTGATAGTAAGTTTATATGTTGATAATTTAATATATACCGGGAATGATGAATCAATGATTGGGGAGTTTAAGAAATCAATGATGAAGGCATTCGATATGTCGGACTTAGGAAAGATGAGGTATTTCCTTGGAATTGAGGTGCAACAATTGAAAAATGGAATCTTCATTAGCCAGAAGAAATATGCAGGGGATGTACTTAAAAGATTTCAAATGGAAGAATGCAATGCTGTTTTAAATCCTATAGTTCCTGGTTTCAAATTTTCGAAAGATGAGAATGGAGTTATGGTTGAGAGAACTTTCTACAAGCAGCTAGTTGGGAGCTTGATTTACTTAACATCAACTCGTCCAGATTTGATGTATGCAGTGAGCTTAATTAGTAGGTACATGTCTCAACCTACAGAACTTCATTTTATGGCTGCAAAAAGGGTGTTAAGGTACGTGAAGGGAACTACAAGCTTTGGCATTTTATATCAGAAAGGAGCAAGCAACATGTTGACTGCCTACAGCGACAGTGACTACGCAGGATGTTTGGAGGATAGAAAGAGCACTTCAGGATATGCTTTCATGATCAGTTCAGGAGCAGTAGCTTGGTCTTCTAGAAAGCAACCAATTGTGACACTGTCAACGACGGAGGCTGAATACGTAGCAGCAGCGGCATGTGCTTGTCAAGCAATGTGGATGAAAATGGTTCTTAAAAGGGTTGGCTGTGATAATAATGAGTGCACAACCATTTTTTGTGATAATAGTTCAATAATAAAATTATCCAAAAATTCGGTTCTGCACAAAAGGAGTAAGCATATTGCAGTTCGATTCCATTTTTTAAGAGATTTATGCAAGGAAAGAGAAATTTGTTTAGTTCATTGTGGCTCACAAGATCAAGTTGCTGATATCCTAACAATGCCCCTCAAGTTGGAACAGTTTTAGAAGCTTAGAGATTTACTTGAAGTATGTGAAGTAAACTAAGTAGTCTACTTAGTTTAAGGGAGGATTTGTTAACGTTAATGTCTAGTTTATATGAGTTATTTTCTATATTGTTAATAAGTTGTCTAGTCTTTAGGAAGTCCTATTTTTTAGGCTAGTGCAGATTGTTCTCTAATTCTGTTATGCAAAAGTTTTATATAACCTACTTCTCAAATGAAATAAACAAGCTTTTCAGTTTAACATCACAACCTACAGAGACTTTTTTTTTGTTGGTGAGGGATTGTCTTCCCGATTTCATTTGTCTTTGGCATTGTCTTTATGAATTCATGTGTTCCCCACTATCCCATATGTTGGTGTGCCTAATGATTTTTCAGAAGGTTTCTCAAACCTTTCATTGTTTTTTCTCAGACCTTTCATTGTTTTTTATGTATTGAGATCAATGTTGATAGGCACATGTGGGAGGGATAAGTAGCATAAATCTTTAATTACTCTTTTAAAGTATGATACATTAGCCTTAAATGCAATATGTATATCATTTTTGTTTGTCCTAAACTTTATTGCTTTAAAATTGTGAATATTTGAGGTTGAGGTTTGTATTAAACAAATGTCAAAGTTACATTTTATCTGTTTTTTGGATTGGTTTGTTTTTCTGCTAGTTCTTCTTTATTGCTTTTTTGTTTATGTATTTTGTTATGACATGAAAAATTGTAGAAAAAATGTCTTAACAATAAAAAAAAAACTAAGGCATGGTAGAGTGGTCCAATGGGCTTCCGTTTACAGCTAGATCCTCACAACTTATCATTTTCAAGCATGAATCCACCACCATTTTTCACACTTCTCTATAGGACATATGTTGAAGACTACTTTGAAATTTTGTCGTGTGTGCTCAATCATTAGACTCGGACATAATCAAGTGACCGAGTCAATATGTGAAAGACTACTTTGAAATTTTATCGTGTGTGCTCAATCATTAGACTCAAACATAATCAAGTGACCGTGTCATTATGAATTACTCTTGATCACATTAAGTTACATTAAGTTAGATGATATTTGTTTTATGTTATACACTGAACACCGTGAGACACTATCCTTAGGTGATAGCATTGTACTATACATGATTGACACGTGAATGTCAACTTATCTATCCACATTTACCCGAGCGAATCATGCATGCAACAGTTTAAGTATATGCAAGTCCCAACTGTTATGTTGTGATTATTTAAAAAGTCAAAGCTTCTCTAACCATCATATAAAGTTAAAAATTATATCTTCAATAATAAATTAATGTTACTTCAACTTATTATATTTAATTATTATTATAATTATTATTTAAGACATTAACTTTTAAAAATTTGCAATAAAAACGGTTAGAAAGGCAGGGAGGACAAAATCGCCCTCCTTAATGTATGTGGAGCTCTCCCAAACTCCATAAAAGTTCATAACTAGTCCAATCTTGGTAATTTTACAGTATACACAATATTGCAAAATGTTTATTATTATTATGATTTGCAAACTACTCACACCTTTGTTCAACTACTCAAAAGCAGTAGTGAGCTTAAACAAGCTACACTCCTTCACATCCTTGTTTGGAAAAAGAAACATCACAATATAGTAACTTGACAACCCCAGGCTTACTTTATTATGGAGTGAAGAATACAGAGTCATTACTTTTCAAAAAATAAATAAAACCAGTTCAAAATACCCAACCTAAAATAAAGTTAATTCATAAACCATCATAATTATACACTAGTACTTCTAAAGTATATCAAGATTTTGCAGATGCTCATTTTTTTCCATGCATGAAACTCTAACCCTAGTCCTCAGCAACGAGTCGTGACAACTCGGTCTGTGAATATCAAAGAAATAAATAAATCACCAAAAATAAATAACTCGGCCTGTGAATATCAACGAGTCTTGACAGTCTTCATGCATGTCTTCTGTTTTTTATCTGATCTTCATGCAGATATTCCAATTGACACTGAATGGCAAATAGAAAACAATTACATTCATTGTGTAAAAGGAGGTGTTTCATGTATGTTCAACTGAACTTTATTGGTGTTAAGAATATGATTTCTAGAAAATGAATAGGCTAACCTTATCACTGAACTAGATTCCTGCTTCACCTTCCAAGTTTGATCCTTTTTGTGGCTTACCTTCCAAAACTAGTCTATAAACGTAAAACGCCGCTACCGCACCACTGCAAATGCCAAACAAATTTGTTATTATACATCATAATATTAATACCAAAGAATGTGAATGGACCAAATGACATTCGATTTTCAACGTGCATTTCTACAGGTTAAATAGAAACCTAATGCTAGCTGAGTTTTCCTTTTGAGTCTTTCGCAGAATCCATGGTTGTTTTATAAGCTTCTTACTGAATAGCAATTTTTCAACATTCTGAATTTACAATTAGCAATTATTAGACAGCCCAAATGTAATGTCAAGCAGAACATCACCGTCTGTAGCACTATGAAATCTGATTTTAATTCAATATTGTTGAAGTTTGACTTAAACATTAAACAACTGATTTCAAATTGTGTAGAAGTTTGACTTAAACATGAAACAACAGCAAGTGGCTGAGACTATCGATAAGGGTTTGCATGGGAAAACGCTGGAGTAATAAGAACTTCAAAATGAAGATAAAAACTATATATTTGAAAATAAAACAGTAATGAAGTTTCAATAACCTGATCAAGGCAGTAAAATAAGTTGATCCCTGGGAAAAAGAAACAAGAAAAGGTAATTATCAGAAGTTTGAAACATATAGCATTTTTATGAGCATGAAAAATAGAATTGTTTTGACGAATGTTTAATACAAACTATCTCTTACTCTGCCAACTGAGCTAATCTCCCGCAGAAACAAGATACTTGATATTGCTACAAGCCCAACAAGTAACTTAAAATCAGATTAGCGATGGATAAATAAGCATAATTGAAAAAAGAAAACTACTAATCAATTACAAAAAATAGTTGGATGTTTTAAGTATCATTGGAATGTAGATAATGAATGTTTTAACTCTAATTATAATATATTTGATCACATTTTCGTCAAACAAGTACAAGTCAGCATTATACTGTTTAATCAGTAGGGCTAATTGCCATTTCCAACACATACTAGTCAGTTTTTTTTTTAAAAGGGAAAAAAGATCAAAAAGTAAAAACAAATTAGAATTGGTCAAACCCAATAAATTAATTGGAAGTTGGAACTTGTAACTATGATTATTAAAGCAAACAATAAACCCCCTGCATATAGATCTCATGCAAACATATTTGTTACATTTACAAATATTTTACAATTAAACCAATATGATAATTGGTTGCATGATGTTGTTGATGAAGTTGCAATCCAACTCGTATGATTGAAGTTGCAATTCAACTCGTATGATTGAAGTTGCAATTCAACTCGTATGATTGCACGATCCTACAGTTCAACACTGTTAACCAATCATGTGCAACCGAAAAATCATTTCTTGGTGCGGTTGGTATAGGATCGCTGTGAAAACTCGAAGACTTGGGATATTGACATGCTTCTGCAATTCAGATGTTCACAATAATGCGGGTCTAGTGGGTGACCTGTAAATTCGATCCCCATTGTAACCTGGTCCCACACCTTCCTTCTCAAATCAAACCTTTGTCAATCTCAATCCTCCTTTCATTCCCTCTTTGTTCCCGCCCAGAAACTGTTTGTGGGTCTGTTTTAGCCTTGCATTTTTTTAAATTTCTGTCTGTTCCTCTCTCAGTTGTAGGGTTGAAATTTCTGTCTTCGCGTTTCGATTTCTAGAATCTTGGGTCTGGGCCAGTTCTCATTCCCTCTTCCGGTCACATCATGGGCCACCTGTCATGGTGGCGCCATAGGCCACTGTGGCATATGACAGATTTTTGCCCTTCCACCATCGACAACACTGATGTGTCGGACTTTTAACCTCATTTCTCCAGTTCTTACCTATGTTTACTCTACTTAGAATTGTTAATCTGTACATAGTTAAGATGTTACCTTGTGATTGGTATGCAACCTATTTAAAGGCCAATTAATTGTGGTAATTCAAAGGTGGTCAGGGTTTAGGGTTTGTGATGATTCAAAGGTGGTCACATTTAATTTTGCATTTCGTTAGGATCTTTCAATTCCCCGATTTAAAAGGTCTGTTTGTTTGGCGGAAATAGAAGGGGTTATGTTGAACCAAATAGGCCCTAAATGTTCTCTCTCCACTTCCAATCCTAGGTAGGAGAGTTCATTCTTTAGAATCTTTGAAGACGGATATTTTAGGACGAAAATTTTGTTAAAACTTAATAAATTTAGCATTTTTTATTACATATAAAGCATATGAACTTACCGGTCTGGCCCTTCAAAGCTAGAGAAGAGGGCTGTCCTTTTTTATATGATTTCAAACTTGAAATGCTTAGAGCCAACAGACCACCGCCTAAAATCACCCCAAACCTTATTGCTGCAATGCTTCCAGTTACCATAAAGGAAAGAAAGCCGCCCAGAGATAGTAGCAAACCTGCAAAATAATAAATATTAAACGTTGATATTCGGTAGGGTTAAAAGGGCAACAAGATCTTTCCAGTCAGCGTAATAAAACCATATCATTAATATTTCTATATTCACTAAGTCATTTAATAAGATGACGTCTGTACAATACAGATATTGTGAGCAAAGAAACATAAATCGTGGGATACATCATAACACAGATCATAAGATTCTGCCTGACATGCAAAATCACACGCATCGTAGAGCTTAACAACATCTGTCCAACATCCAGAAAGGCACTAACAACATCAGTCCTTGAAAGAGCCAGTGTTGCCAATTGGATTCTGTGTCAGCCACCATACGCAACCATAACGCCGTATCAATATGGCAGATTTTTGGCTGGCAATCATATTCTGTCATCCGCAATTGATAACATTGATAAGAACTTTATTAGATGGTAACTTTCATAGATAAATCAATATAACTCCTCATCAATAAACTCATCTTAACAGTTTCTGCTTATGTTAGAACACATATCATTAATATTTCATAAAATAAATTTCCATCTAAAATACATATAATCACATACCATAGGGTATCCCAACATAAAAGTCCCTCACTCCAGAAACATTGCTAAGATCATCCTCTGGAGAAGTAAAAGTCTTCACAATCTCCTTCACGTCAGGTGAATTCTCCGCTGCAGAAGACAAATACTCTTTCCCTTCATCCGTAATTTCCTTCGCCACAACACTCAAATCATGTTTCGCCTTATCCGCGTGTATCTTCAACTGCTCCGAAGTATCCTTCAAAATAACAGCCGCCTTCTTCGAGTACACTTCATAAGCCTCTTGAGAAACCCCTTGAACCTTCAAAGCCTGTTCCTTGAATGTATCCAAAGCCTGCTTCCATGCCTCCTGTGATTCCTCCTCGGAACCAACATCACCAACATCAACATCCTCATTCCCCTTTTCCACTTCAGCTTCACCGTGATCCTACACAGCAGGTCAGAATACACATATCAGAAAATTCAAATTCAACAACATTGAATGATTCTAAATGAATGAAGTTTGTTTTGGAGTTACCGAGTCGTGTTGCGGCGCGGCAGCGAAAGTGGCGGTTAACGGTTTCCGTTGATTGAGACTATAACGGGGAACGGCGTGAAGGGGGAGTTTGAAAGTGCGGTTATTGAGTAAAGGGTGAAACCTTGGGAGGGTATGGTTGAGTTTAGGGTTTAAAACAGAAACCGAATCCATTGTGAAATTCATGGAGGCCATTGAAAGGAACGAGAATTTTGGTGAGGATGGAAGGGTTGGAACAAGGAGTAGGAATCAAAGTATAAGGGAAAAAAATAATGAAACTGAAATCAGAGAAAAGGGTTTATGAAATGAAGTAATGTGGGTGTGGTTTGGAAGATGCAGAGGAAGTTTGGAATAATCGGTGGCTTTGTCACGTGAGGTTTTTCCCTTTTACTGGAACATGAGGTTTATTTATATTTTTCTTCTTTTTCTTTTGACAATAATGTGTTGGTTTTTTCTTTTTACAATAATAATTTTTATTTATTTTTGAAGAAAACGAGAGACGCGGAGTCGGCAGCATCCAAACAAAAAGATGGATTGCAAATAAGCTCAAATACTTGTGGTTTGGACACGCACGAGGGAAGGGTTCATATAGTTTTCTCATGAAAAATCAAGGCTATATCTCCTTCTACTAATTTGTTCAATTTAAATTCAAATCGATTTAAATAAAAACTATAAGTTAATTAATAAAATGAAGAAAAAAATTAAATATTATTAAATATGTATTGATTTTTCAAAATCAATTCAAAAGCAAATCATATATATATATATATATATATATATATATATATATATATGATTTTCAGTGTAATAAATTTTACACTATCAATACATCACAACCATCCGTTGGTATTACATTTTTTAAGTAGTTAAAAAAAAGTCAAAGCATTTAAATAAATCAGCAGTTGAGATTGACTGATAGTGTAAAAAATCTTTACACAAACAGTGCATATTAATTTTATATATATATATATATATATATATATATATATATATATATATATATATATATATATATATATATATATATATATATATATATATATATATATATATATATATATATATATATATATATATATATATAGGAGAGGATTATTTGACACCGGTGTCAAATATTAATTTTAACACCAAATTCTACCCTTTTATTATTATCAATTTAATGACTAAGATAAATTCTCTTAAAATACTCATATGTTAGTTTTAAGTGAATATATTTTAACCTTTAAGTTAATAATAATAAACAAATAGGATTTGGTGTCATGACACTTTGGTTTAATATGCTGTGTTAATTTATTTATTTAATAATACTCATTTTTTAATACTATATATTAGTTAAATTTAATCTATTTATTTTTATTATTTTATTTGTTTTAATCATAAACTCTCATTTTATAATATTAAATTTTAATATACTATATTTTATATATTATATCAAAATTATTATTTATTAGCATTTTTATAATTTTTAATAAAAAAATATAATTATAATTTAGATATCCAAATAGCGATATAAATTAAACGGTATAAAATCAAATCAGATCAGTTCAAATTTTTTTAATCAATCATTCAAAATCGAACTGAACCGCGGGTAAATTTATTATTGGATCAGATGAGTTTTTGCCTTAAAATCGATCTAAACCGCATGTTCGTTTTGCCCACATTTTTTTTGTAGAATAAGTCAAAGTTTTAGTCTCGGATCCTCTAATATATTTGTTTTGTTACATCATATTTTTTATACGTTTTTGCATCTGTGGATATTAACATAAAATTGTGCAACTTTAGATTTTAAAAATGCAATGATTGTATGCATATCATGCCCTGCTCTCTTTTTTTAAGAGGCGATCAAAGTTTTAGTTACGCTTTCTCAAATATGTTTATCCCACTCTAAGCCTTTTTTTAAGTTTTTGCAAGGCTGACATTTTTTTTTTGTTATCTTTACATTTAAGTTTGCACTACTTTTTTTTATGCTTCCACAAACCTTTTTTTAATTCATTGATCATATATTTAATAATCACTTAAATAAAGTATTTATTAAAATAAATACTTATAAATAAATTTATATAAGTTATTTTTAGGGTTAAATGTACTTTACCCTTGTAATGTGAGTGAGTTTTGGTTTACCTCTTTTGTCAGTTTGAGATTTACAACTCAGCATGTTCAACAAGAATGTGAATGTGAGATAAATATACAGACTAAATATAGATAGCTAAATGATGTTTCGACACCAAAATCAATAAATTCGACATGTGGGCTTTTCGACAGAGGCAGTTGGATGACTTGAAGTTGTTTTCGACGGCAATAACAGTTTTTGCAATAGTTCAAGAACTCAAGACATGTGGAAGCAAAGTCGAGGACAAAAGTCCATGTAATAGGGTATGTGTAGGATTGTGAATAAGTAATCGCTTTTTAGTTAACAATGTATTAAGTATATAAATAGATTTTGCTTCTAGGTGAGTGGTTTGCATTTCATTGTATTTTTCTTTACAATTCACACATCCGAGTCATAGAGATAAAGAATTTTTTAGAAATATATGAACTTGTGTAATTAAAGCACTTTTATTCAATTGTTTTGTTGTTCTTTATTTACTTACTTTATCCGTTTAAGCACTTTTGTATCTATTTCTTTCAATTTTTACCCAATTACTCTAAATTCAAACACAAAACCTTACAACACTATCTCACTTCTCAAACATTTCAAACAAAATGTTCTTAGGAGTTTTTCGAGTTTAATCCTTCAAGTGAATTAAACTTGTGATTTGTTTACCAAAAACACCAGTAAATAAATTGACACACCCAATGAAACTCTTTTGTGCAAAATTTAAATATTTTTAAATAGTATATGTGCTTTTACATTTGTTTCGTTCTTCACATCTAAATGTTGTCAATTGTTAACTGTTTATGCATATGAGGTGTGACAGATTTGTTAGTATGATTATACTAGTAGGGAGTTCATCTCATCAAGGAGTTCCTCCTCCCCGGAACAACGATCCAAAAGTAGAAGAACGTCCAATTGGAATGACATTTGGTGGTACAAGCACTTCAACAACTGTTAAGTAACTACTTCTATTGTGAGTTAGACATTAGTTTCGACTGCGACACCAAAAATGGTGATACCATTATTAACTAGTTTTCCTATTAATTCACTAGTTACACAAATCAATGTATGAGGCACTAGGCCTCCATTTCTTCTAAGTTTTACCCCTCCCTTAGTGGTAGGGAGTATCTGTATGACATGCCAATTGAAATGATGGCAGGTTTGTTAGTTAAAAATGTGATGTTGGTAAACATAAACAAAAATGCAGATCATGTAGTTAGGAGAGTCCAACAGAATAATTTTGGGGGGCAAAATAACATAACAAATATGGTTGAACAAATTCTAACTTAAAACGGTCTTAATGTTGCTCTTCATAGGCAAAATTTTATTTCTATATTATTTGAATATGTCTTACAAACTATGAAGGTGAAAAAAAATACACAAGAAAAGAGAGTTGAATTGTGTTTACCAAATCTTTTCTACTTCTGAATCAGAGATCAAATTCTAAACAGAAGTTCAGAAACTGATAACAAGTGCAGCGAAAAATGTAACAAAAGTAAATAAAAATGGCAAAGAACACACAACAGTTATATTAGTTCCTCTACAACTAAGAGTGATCCAGTACCTTTGCAGCACAAGAGATTTCCACTATAATCAAACAAATTACAATTGCTTATATCTTCAAGTATAAGACTTTCTTCTGCTCAGACCTACAACCTAAGATTTCCTTGCTTAATTAGCACCTGATCAAGACTTTCCTGCTTATATCCTCAGATCCTAAGACTTTCCCGCTTAAACTCCTCAGGTTCAAGACTTCCTTGCTTATACCTTCGAGTACAAGACTTCCTACTTATACCTACAGACCAAGACTTCCTGCTCATATTCCTCGAATCTAAGACTTTAATGCTCAAGCTCAAGGCAAGAGACTTTTATCTAAACTACTTGTTTAGAGAAGGAATGACTTATAACAACATGTGATTAACAATCAGAGGTGTTCAAATATAATACAACACACTTTAACACTAAGAATTCTTAAGCTATACAAGAATAAGAACTCTTAACATATTAGCTTCTGTTGAGCCGATATGAATAAAGTGCATGTATATTTCAGTTATAGTTGCAGTGTTATTCTCTTAGTTGATCTTCAATTCTTCTGCTCCTTTTATAACTGAAGAAAATAGATTCATTAAAGCATCCTCAACGTCTATAATCAGATCAAATATTTTAGTACATCTTCTTTTCCAATAAAGCAGATGTTAGAACTTGTAGACAAAGAATTATCCATTGAACAAAACCTTTCTCCAGAGAATTCTTCTATGAAACAAGTACAACACAATCTTTTGAAGATAATGTCAATAATTCTCGAGTTTCGCGTTTACAGAGCTTGAGGTGAAATTACTCAGTTTCAGAGGCAGATAAAACATGTTTCTGATTCTGAAATGTACTAACGATAACTTTCTGATCAGACTCTCTTACACGTACAAGATCAGAATCGGATCATAGCTTATTTCGTGTCAGAACCAACTTCATCAAGTAAATATAAGTCTGCAATAAGAACTAGCTAGTTAGAAATCCTAATTGTTTTTCTAATACTTTGTTATCATAAAATTTTTATAGGATACATGGTATGAACCAAATTTTTATTAATAATCTCCCCTTTTTTTATGATGGCAACCTTAAGTATTTTAAAACAATCAGTTGTATATTAATTACTCAACAACTTTCAGGGTCTGAAGTTTGTAAGCTCCCCCTGTGTCAAACAGTCTTAGAGGTAAGGTTTGTAAGCTCCCCCTGAGTCTCATTTGTGAAGTCTAAGATACGAGGTTTGTAAGCTCTCCCTATATAGAATAATTAAATTTACTTCAAGTGGTGAGGTTAGTAAGCTCTCCCTTAAATAGGATAACTAAGTTCACTCCAAGATTAATCTAGAAGAATACTTAATCCATTCTCCCACTTTGTCGTCAATAAAAAGATAGAGAAAAAACGACTTCAGTGGTTAATAATGGTTTCTAAACAATTCATAGCCAAACACCAGTCAGGAACAAGTTTGTCAACCAATCTAGCTTGTCGCATATGAGCAACAACACCCTGTTGATCAAGAATCATGGAAAGAACCCTACCAAAAGAAGTGAAAAACGATAATTCCTCAGGAGATGCAAGT